ATACAATTAATATTATAAAATTCATATATTATCCCTAACATATTTACTACTTATAATTATGCTCTTAATCGATTACAATCGGAGAATTTTGTAATACTATTACGACGTTATTTGAAGCTTTAATTAGTTAAAATGTTTAAGAGACTGAAAGACATTTATTAATACAAGATACGCACATAAAATATAGTGAACTTGTAGAGCTTAAAACCATATGTGCACATGTGATATATAGAGAACTTGAAGAGCTTAATGTGATATATAGAGAACTTGAAGAACTTGAAGAGTTAAAAGCATATATATTTATCGCATAATCTTTTAATCAAATGATGTTCGTTTTATTCCTCAAATTAGGAAACGGTAATTTCGAAAGAAAAAAACAAAGTATCCATAGAAATGTCACAGTTCCTTCACATACTCACCGTAAAGCCTCACTTCCTCTTCCCATTCCCTATGGTGAGTAGCTCGAAACTCGTGAACGTTTCGCGAGCAGCCCTTGACGGCGCAGCTCGGGTAAAAGAAGAAGACGATGGTCTAGTGGTCGGGTCAGGAACGAGCTGAGTCCTTTGAGCTGTTGAGGAACGGCCATTGTTTGGGACGACTCTGCTCGAGCGGTTCTCTGTGAAATCAGCTGAAGAAGTGGCTCGAACGCTCGAGACAATGGCTTTTCTTGAAGAGCTTGCGTGTCTTGTTGAAGAGATTGGTCTCTCGACTCTTTCATAGTTTTGCTGGTTCCAATCAAGAATACAATTTAATCAGTTTAAAGAAAACATTTCAAGAAGATTTTAATGTTTTTTAGATGACTCACTGGTGTTGTGTCCTTTGATGCTGCCAATACATTCTCTGAGGTTCTTGGTCTAGATCGATCAGCTTGAACCGCGCCGCTTCCTGATCCGTTTCTTCTAGCGTATGCCTCTAACGCACCTGAGAATCTGTCGCGACTCTCTTGTCCCGCTCTCTCTTGTCCAGCTGTAAACAAAAGAAAATTGCAGACACAAATTGTCAAGATTTCCTCGAACACCAACGATGGGAAGATAATGTGCAGTAATAACCAATCTCTTTAACTATGTGAATGGTTCTGTAACAACAGTCAACTATAAGACCAGGAGAGACCTGGACTAAAAAACTGTTTACACAATGAAATTGTATACAAGATCTGCAGATGGAGGTACAAATAATCCAAGTTTCTAAAAACCGCATCCGGTTAATGAGATTTAGAACTGAATGGAGAGTCAACTGACTAATTAGGTCTTAGGTGGCCGGCCACAAAGCACCCGGTTAGCGCCTTAACTTTTTAACTTTGAAAATAACCAAATAGGGAAACTGTTTGATGAATCAAAGAAGCAACCACGAAAAAACTACCATGAAACTTGGGCAAGTGTTGAAAGAAAGGATAAGAAGCTAACAGTTATTGTAGATGCGTATAAAAAAGTTTAAGGCCTACCTGAAGGTTTTTCTGGTCTCTCGGCAGATGGTACTTGAGGATTCAGAGCTGGTCTCAGGCTCGACTGTTGGGACGCAGAGACAAGTGTGAGGATTTGATAATATGCTCTAGAGCATTAAAATGATAGAAAATCAAAGTAATTGATGTTACTTACTCTTGGTTTGGAGCTGGAGCTGGAGCCGAACTGTGGATACTTCAAGATTGTCCAATCAAATACGTAGTCAAACTGATAACCTGCGAATACATAACAATCAAAAAAAATTCTTGAGTTTTATGTGAAATTTTTTAAGCGTAAGCTACACCAAAATAAGGAATATCAAAGGCTTTTCCCAACCTTCTCGGATAAATAGATCCCTGAAAAGCCTCTTTAGGTATGGATAGTCTGGTTTGTCTTCAAACCGCAATGATCGTACATATAGAAAGTATGATGTGAACTCAGGTGGAAATGATTTACAGAGAAGCTGCCAATTATGAATGCAACATTTTGATAAGTAAAAAACTCTTTCGCTAGCTTTATGACATCATCCGTGACAATTTCCATACAGTTTCCGAATATAATTGTAAACGAATTAGGAAATTACCTCTACGGGTGTAAGCCTTTTCTTTTCGCTGATCTTGTCATACTTCTGCTTTTTGGTACCCGCACGAAGTCCTTGCCAAGGAAGACTAGCAAGAAAATTTGAGGGTAAAGGGGACAAATTAAAAATAAAATATTGAGTAAAGTAAAGATGTATCTAACCTTCCTCGAAGAAAATACATAAGCACGTAGCCAAGAGATTCTAGATCGTCTCTCCTACTTTGCTCTGTGTAAGAGGTATCAAATCAGAACTTGAAATGTCTTGAATTATAGAGTGTCAAGTGCACGCAAACAATACTCACCAATTCCAAGATGAGTGTTAACACTTGCATATCGAGCTGTTCCAGTAAGATTCTTGTTTTCCCTAAAAAGTAACTCTTGATTAGCAATGTAAATGGCATGGAGGGAATCAAACAATGTTGCAATGCAGTAATAAGAACACTCTTTTGCATGAGGCAAAAATATGTACCTGTAGGGAATGTGCCTGTGAGTTTGAAGATCTCTGTACTTTTTCGCAAGTCCGTAGTCAATGATATACACCTACACAGGAAGAACGAAGACGAGTCAGAGAATAGATATCACTACATTTATCTGAAGAGCATTGAAAGAAATCCCAGAAACAAAACAAGTATAGCATCAATACACACAAAAAAAGTTGCATACCATAACTACTCACCTGGTTTGCTTTGCGTCCGAGACCCATCAAAAAGTTATCTGGCTTAATATCACGATGAAGAAAACCCCGGACATGCATATACTCAACTCTATTTATCTGAAGGAATCAAAATGGAAAACAAAGTATGAATAAGTAGAGTAACGTAATAACTCAAAATATCAAAAGAAAAGAAGAGAATATCTAATACCATCTGATCAGCAAGCATTAGAACCGTCTTTAGATTGAACCTCCGGCTGCAATAATTAAATAAATCCTCCATGCTAGGGCCCAGAAGGTCAATCACCATGCAGTTATATTCACCCTCAACCCCATACCATTTCAGGTGCGGAATTCCAGCTTC